CTATTTAGCAGTTTTCTTACTCAAAATTAAAGTATCACAATATTAGGCCTACAATAGATATTAGTTTTAACACTTGCAATTAACCAAAATATGTATTGAAATGAAACGATATTTAACTAACAAGTATTTAATTTTTTTTTCTGCAAAGAAATCAAACATTTAAATGTCAAAGTTCAGTGTGATGGATGGGCCTGCTTTTGAGAACAAAGTTTATCAAAACGTGGTGTAATATCAGAAATTGTCACTCTAACTTCTTTAGCAATACTTAGCCCCTGAACGATATTTTGACTTTATAGCTACCAAAGCAGAAAAGCCTGTCTCGCATAAGTAAGTTGTTGCGAAAGGAATCAGTATCTTCAATGCCTTTTGGCTCAAAGTTGGGAATTCCTTGCCACTATGTATCCAGAACTCCAACAAAGACAATTTCTTAAATTTACTTTTTAATGAAGTATTATTAGTGAGATCGATGAGTTGTTCTTGCTCATTTACATTCAGAGATGATGGCCCAGGATCATTTTCGAATGGATTTTTAATCCAATTAAATTTATCAAAATCTTTGCAAAAGTATTTTTCGAAATGAACTTTCAACATTAAGAGATGATCAAGAAGGCAGCTTTTTATGTCCTTTGGAAGCACTGGATTATCAGTGTCTTGTACCGTTGACAACAGAGTAGGGAACATGTCTAGCGTGTCATTTTCCATACTGTTTCTCCAGAGCTCTAATTTTCTCATTAATGCCTTTACTTTGTCATTCCAAGAAAGTACAGTTGCCTCATTCCCTTGAAGTGTTGAGGATATTTAGTTTCTCAAATTCAGCCATGCAGTGGCTCCGGTATGACGTCATGGGCTTCCAGCCCCTTGATCGAAGTTCTTAAACTTATCTCCCACCCCATCCCCATGCGGGACTGGGTCACGTGGTGTTGTCCTATCCCCTCCTTTCTACCCCTGGAAGCCTTGCTTGGAAGTTAATTCGCGTTCGGAGTACAGTTCTGGTTATGGATCCAAAGGGCCTTGCTCGCGGTGCCCAGCCAGCCGGAGTGATTGTCAAATTCCTGTTCGGCTGGGAGTCCAAAATTGGTTTCGGCAAGTAGTGGGCTGGTTCGCGGCCGGCGAGATCGCCCGCGGTCGCCCGTCGTTGGGTTTGTAGTACGGCGGCGACTCGTACCAGTTTAGTTAAATCTGTGTTTATAATTTATATTGTGTATTTGGTTTAGACTCAGCCTGTGGCTCGGCTAGAATGTAGTAGTTATGTTTTCGTACAACCAAGGCAAATTGTTGCGCCCGTAAATATGAGTCATTCTGCCCGAGTTAGATGCCGCTGTGTGCCAGCATGTAAATGTGCAATTAGTTGAGTTGTTCTGTTTAATTTCTTGGGCTCGTGCGCTGTAACGACGATGAATTCTTGTCTTTGGTTATGTGTTAGTTGTGTTTATTGAATTCTGTTATTTGTTATTATATTGATTGCCATCATTTGTAACTAGATTTACCTCGCTGCTAGCTTGGATCGCTTACTCTAACTTAGGGAGGGCGCGAGCACAGCACGAGAGCCGTATGACGGAGCAACGTTTCCCCTTCCGATTGAGGAGGATTAGACGGAGCCGAAAGGTGCCAGAGAGTGGCGATGCTGTGGTAGCAGACCGTAAGGCGGACGTAAGACGGTACAAGTGGTAGCAGAGCGTACAACGGCACAAAATATGTCTGTGAGGTGAGCCATTTTCAATAAAAAAAAATCCTTGTTGCTGAAACTGTCTGCCAGTGAGTGATTTTCCCCATTTAAAAAACAGAACACCTCATGCCTCAGCTTAAACATTCTCTTTGATACCTTTCATCTTGAAAGACAACGAGCATCACTAAAAAACAACAGAGCAGTGTGTTCGGCACCCATTTCCTCACACAGCATTTTAAAAAGTCTAGACTTCAGAGGATGCGGCTGCTGCCGAACTATGAACGCTGTCTCTGGCATACGCGTTTTATAATTGCCGATAAAGAGAATAATTACACAGGTCTGCAAATTTTTTTTTTCAGCTGCATGGAATATTTTTGGTAAACTTTGTGTTTTCTAGGATGCTGAATCCAAAAATAACCTCAATTTCTCCCTATCACGTACGGTTTTTAGGAAAATAATAGGGGTTTACGATAAAAAATCATAACAGCGATGAAAAAATCACTAATTTTATTACACTGAACTAAACATATTTTTTCTCATAATTAAAAAATTCCTTCACGATATATTTAACATTCTGTGTTCAGTCTTTTTGCCTGTGAAACCATTTTCTTCTTCTCTTTGATGCTTCTCCGAAAGCGCTTTCGCTTTCCATTTTCCGTTTCCCGATTGATCATCCATCAGTAGTCAGCTAGCCTATTCGCATTCCATCTTCCTTGGTAGCGTCTTTCGATATCACGGACATCCGGGTGAAATCGTTCACCCTGCTCTTCACTATAGGCTCCCAAGTTTTCGGGAAAATAGTCGACATGGAAGTGTAAGAAATGAACTTTTAAGCTCATCTTGCAACCTTGAGCTTTATATGCAGCCAACAGGTGTTGTACATTGGTTTTGTAGAGAGGGACTTTAGTGTTCCCCTTAAACTTGTGCACTACGTCTTTGAAAGAGTCCCATGCTTCTTTTTCTTTTTCTCCCATTTCCTTCTTTGGAGAAAAACTGAGTGAATTTCTTCTCTCGGTGCCAGTACCACAAGAATGATGTTCCAGGGGAGAGCAAGTTTTTATTTTTTTAGTCTTGATCCTAGCAATTCGGCTGCATCTTTGGACATCACAGGAATGCCAAAACGAAATTGTAACCACTCACTTCCTTGTGCCCTTTTTACGTTGGTCGCCACTCTCTCACCTATCACTTCTTTGGGTTCTTTTTGGTAGTCGGTAGAGTTGAGTTCCTATCCCGGGTCTTAAAAGGGTCTGGCTCGGACAGGGCAGGAAGAACCCTTCACTACAATTACACACACACTCTACAACCGTTGCACTTAATGGTCATTTAATCTCGTTCAGCACACTAAATACAACTGAATTTATTAATACATTTAATTTGGACTTTTCTTATACTGCTCTACGGAAGGGCCGTAGTTGTAAATTTAGTGTCCGACTTGGCCGAAAGTTGTGTCAAGACTTCTCGAGGTGTAATGCCCTCTCTCTGAATCCTGAGGTCCACGAACCCCAGACTCCAAGAGAAATCCACTCCTCCACTTCTACCATTGGCTAAGTTTTCAAACTAGGAGGTTCCCTAAATTTTGAATTCCCAATCATGTTGCTCTGCTATGTGGTTCTGGCAGATGCTGACCTGACGCTACGGTTGACATCCCCTTGATGCATTACGGTCCGGGTGTGAGGCTCCGGCCGTCCCACTTCTAAGTTATCGCTGTCCCAAGTTGTCAGCTCTCATTTTCTCACAGCCTTTCCGACGTTGCTGAAACTGCCAGAATTCTAGGAAATTACCAGATGTTCCTTCCTGTCCACATAGCAAAACTTGAACTATGTCCCTTCCGCGTGTAAGAGCTAGCTATCTGCCGGATCTCTTTGTTTCTAATTTTGTAATCTTAATACAAATTTAATTAATGCACACTAGTCCTCCAGTCAGAATGAACGGTTACAAAATTAGTTTTTCTTACCCTTAAACCACAAACGAAGATCTTCCTCTCACCTTCTGCACACCTTGCGAGGAGCCCAAGGTTTGTCTTGATCCCCAAGTTTCAATTTGAAATAAGCAAAATACACTTTCTTCACAAAATCACTCATGTTACTTTGTTGACTTTTAACTATGTATTCACCACAAATAAAACAAAAGTTGTCCGGAGAAATAACACAAACTCTTTGAGGCATAATACAGAGCTAAAACACAAGCACAGTCACGTTTGAATGCAGGATGTAAACTGAGTGGCTTATATATCAACCAAGATCCTGAACTTATTTAACATGTTGAGACATGATCAAATCTGACAGCAGGCTTGTTTATATTCATTCCTATTGCCCCAAGAACATGTCCAAACATGCTCAACCGAGCTAGTAAGATTCCTCACCTTTCGCTACAAACAAAGTAAACGTGTTGGGACATGATCGCCCGAGCTCCTGACACCGCCAAACCTACCCTACCAACCCATTCCACTGCCCCCCCATCTCACCCATTTTATATTTGTATTATATTTTAGATTCACTCTTATAAATATTATTTTAAAGTAAGAAATAATTATTGGATATGGTTTTTAGAATCAACAATAGGATACCAGATTTCATGTTGAAGAGAAATTTCACGCAAAATTAAACTAAAAATATGAGTTTTGCAAAAAATTGAAGTGATGGATTTTTTTTACTCTTATTTCCGGTTTTAGTGAGTAAAAATCTATAAGCAACAGTAAAAATATCCTACGCAGTTTTTTGGTTGCTGACCTGTATTGTTAGTTATTTTGAAATTCATGATAATTAAAGCCTGTACTCATCAATTTTTTTTCTGTATTTATTTTTACTTTTTGTTATTTTTCTAGTTGATTTAGGGCAGTTTTAATTTTTATCTGTTGAAAGTATGCTGCTCCCCCTTGGGGGTCGCGCCCCACACTTTGAGACCACTGGCTTTAGCTATGGAGCGGCCATTCAATCTATGTTGCTTTGACAACAAATATCATGTGTCGTGTTATTTTTACCAATATTTTTGCTTAAAGCGAGGTATGGCAATAGGAGGGGGGTGGTAGATCACCGGCAGTTTTGACACTAAAAGTCGATCACAACCTGTTTGAAGTTGGACATGCCTGCTCTATGTACTCGTAGAGATTCAGTCACTTGTCCTTCACCATTGAAGTGAAGGATGGACCAAAGCAAATTAAGTTTTGCTTTCTTGAATCTCTGTCCCTCAAATGCTAGTTATCCACAGGCAGAGACCGTTAAAGTTATTTTTATCTCTCTCCCTCTGGCACTGATGTCATTGTCGTGCCGACCGAACCCTGTCAAGTTGTCACCCTGTGCCATAGAAGAAAAAGACACACAAAGAAATACTTTACGGTTTGCGCAGAGCTCCTCTTGCAACGGTCCTCGCTTCGAAGTCTTCGTCGGATAGACGCTGTCATTTCCATGGAACGTTGCAACCGTTGACAACATATCACACCATTACATCAGAAACACTTAGAGTGTAGTTGCGATCACAAACGGCACACGCATATCCCGATCGACGCATGCAATTGCAAGTGTGTGCGACCAGTACAGTTCCTTACAGGCCGTGGCTTAACGGCTGGTATCACTTCACACGCACTGGAACTTACATCTGTTAAACTTCACAAGTGACATGCCACTAATAGTCCCATTATCATGTTGTAAATTTTCACTAATAATTATCATAAACATGCAATTCAATCGCACTGCAAGGAAAGCAAAAGGTTCTTTTAAAAATCTGTAATGGACAATATGGTGTTGTGCCCGGACCCTTTCGGGAATTGATTTTGATATTTTAAATTATTTTATTAATGAAAGAAACATGAAATTATGTTTGAGCTAGAAAGATGAAGTTAACTACGGAAACAGAGGCCGCTCCTGTTTCCTGTGATTTATGATTAATAATTTCCGTTAGTCAGCCGCTCCCCATGATACTGGAAGAATCATGTGGCCGGCAGGAAAGACCATATACGGGCAAGTTGCTAGGGCAGAAGGGAATTTAACAATGGGAATCCACGATTCCCAGCGCGTCCACGAGGACGGAAGCGCGCCCACGTTACCAGACTGTATAAGAACCCTGGAACAAGGAGCGGGGACACGCGAGCTAGAGCTGGACGCTGGTCGCCTAACGCCGTCCGCAGAACGTACTGAGCCTTCAAGGCACGACTCCGCCAGGGTGCGAGGCGCACCGCCGAAATAAAGGAGGATGAAGTCATAGTCACAGTACAACTGTGTCGGGCGGCTGCTACAGTAGAACTGTGACATCCGCCGACTTGTAAAGTAACAGTCAGCCGACTACAAGTTGGAGTATAGCAGCCGTCGCGGGAAGAAGATCCGGACGTGTGTGTGACTGTGTAAGTGGGAGCGTGTGATACTGTGATACCTAGCTCCCCTACTGTCAACGTGTATACTACGGAACACAGAGTGAACTGATTTGGGCATAGGGTTATAAATCGTGAAACCCCGCAACCGTGTAATAATTAATTGTAGCCGTTATTTGTAGGTTGTTAAATAAACCAGTTAACGATCTCTACGGCGTGTTCAGTAACGCAAACACGTTACACTGGTGTCAGAAGTGTTACGTGTTTCGTTACAGAATACGCCGTAGAGATGGTTAATTGGTTTATTTAACAATCTACAACTATCGGCTACACTTAATTATCACAACGTTACGGGTTTCCACAGTTTACAAACCCTACAACAGAATCTCTTAACACAGTCTTCACTTGTCTTCACGTACTAATAACGCGGGAGCTATACAAGTCTCCCTGAATTACACACTTTCACTCGTAACACGCCGCTGGCTAGATTCCAAGATGCTGCCTTGAGAACTGTTGATAACACACTCGGCGACTGTCACAGTAAACTGACTGTGAATAGCCTTCGCTGCTCCTTATGTAGCTTCGATCGGACAATACAGAATCCGGCCACGTAATATGCGCCCTTGTTGCCGGGCGCTGTGTTGCTAGTAACGCTAGCGGAAGTAACCGCTGTTACTACTTGGTGACGTCACCGCTGTTGACTTGCGTTGCCTAGCGACCGCGATATCCCT